TTTTTTTTTTTACCACGTTTCTGTCCGTTTGGACCGTTCTGTGTTGGGAACGTTTTTTTGAACCATCCGTCCGACTGAAATGTTCTTGAACTGATTCAGCTTCATGTTCATCTGCTGAGTGTCAGAAGGTCTGACGTGAAAACAAAGCAGCAGATTTATGGGACAGAAGGTTTGCTGGAGTCTTTGGAACGCTGCAGGCAGCCATGTTCTCTGTGTTCTCTGTGGTTCTATATGTTCTCTGTGTTCTCTGTGGTTCTCTGTGGTTCTCTGTATAAATGTTGTTCTTCTTCCTCTTCAGTGCTGCAACCTGCTGCTGGTGGAGACGCTGAAGGATCCGCTGTGCTTCCGGGTTTCCGACCAGACGATCCCCAAACAGCAGCACGTCGTGCAGGTCGACGAGTCTCGAGTCACGTCAGACGTTTTCTGAGTGTTGCCGTCCTCCGTTGTTAACGCTGTTGTTGTTGTTGTTGTTGTTGTTGTTGTTGTTGCTGCTGCAGACCAAGAACCAGGAGGAGAAGCGGCTCTGGGTCCATTACCTGAAGAGGCTCATTGTAGAAAACCACCCGGCGTCGCTGCCTCAGAAGGTGAGCAGGTCGGAGGAGGAGACGCAAACATGTAGGAGAAGAAGAAGAAGAAAGTGCTGATAAAAGCACTGGACCATTGTGCTGGTGTTTGCTGCCACCTGCTGGTCAACGATACAAACTGCACCTCGTACCAGGAATCAGACCAACAGGACTTTATTCTGTTCAGAGAAAAACACATGAAATCACACGAATAAATCGTCTTTACATCAGGATAAATCAAGAAACTGAGGACTTTAATCTTTTTAAATCACCAAAGCGACAAAATTTATCCGACAGAAACTCAGAATCAGTAGAACTTTGAGACATCTTGGACCAATTTCTATCATTTTGGATAAACTTTGAGTGAATGTGGGCGATTTCACGATTCATTTTTGATAAATCTTTGTTATTTTGGACACGTTTTTCTTATTTCTGACTAGTTTTAAGTCATTTTTTGAGTCATTTTGGGCAATTTCTGTTATTTTGAACAAATTTGGGAAAAACCTGAACAGTTGTGAATTTGGAGCCACTTTGGACATTTTGTTGGACATTAATAGGAACTCTGGAACATTTTAAACTGGTTTTTATCATATGGGACAAGTTTTTGAGATATTTCAGACAGCTTTGAGTCGTTTTGGACAAACTTTCATCCAGTCGATCAGACGCTGACTGTCATCTTGTTATTTTACACCTCATTGACGTATTTAACGTCGCTTTCTGTTTCATTGCAGGCGAGGCAGGTTCTGGGAGACAACTTCTGCCAGAGTGAGTTCCTTCATCTGTAAAACTCTCAACTCCGAACCTTCGTCGACGAATCTGACATGAAGTGACGTCTGTTTGTGTGTTTCAGCTCCTCAGTTCGACCACGAACACCTGAAGAAGTCGAGCGCTTCGCCGAGACTGGACGACATCCACGGATTCCACCGAGGAAGACGTCAGTCAGGTCAGGGTCAGTCTGCTCCATCGAGTCTATTAAACACTTTGTTCTCTCAAACAAACACTGAATCACAACTAAAGCCTCGTTGATCTTGAATTTAAATGAATCTGATCTTTTGACTCCTCACATGTTCTGAAAGTCAACATGAAAGCTGTCGTTTAAAGTTTCTGTGTTTTTGTCTCCAGAACCTCCAGAGCTGCTGATGTTCACACCTGAGAAGTCCAGGAAGAGTTTACCGCTGCTGCTGGAGGGAAACCTGCCGTACCGACGGTCCAGGAGGCAGTCAGGTACCAGCAGATACCAGCACTACGACTACTAACGTGACAAACATGACCAAAAACTGGGCAGAGTTACAAAAACATGGTCTTGATCGGCAGAATTTGTCCAAAATCATCAAGATTTTNGATCATCGAGTCCTGGCTGTATTTTAACAGTAAAAGTCTATGAAACTGTGAGATAACTTTAGAGACTTTTCTTGGGTGATGTTAACCAGCAGAGCTCCGTGGCTGGTGTTTGCACAGACGTGTTTTATGAGGATCTTTTCCTTAAAATAAAAAGTTTGCAGCATAAATAAAAGCAAACAGTGAGTGAAACCCACCAAACACTGGATTAAACTACAGAACCGTGGTCCTGCAGTTCTATTAACCGAAAAACCCCGCTAAAGAAACTCACCTGTCACATGACGCAGACCAGAAGATACCGTAATATCTGGACTATTGAGGCACCTGAATATAAGCCACACCCACTCACTTTAAAAAGAAAACCAGGTGTGCACATATACAGGCTTCACCGGTAACGTACACAAATACGTCGATGCCTTTTTCCGAACAGTTCCTGTAACACGGCTGGTTAAGAAAATAACCAGCAGCTACCAGGAAAACTCATTGATTATCTTCATCTTCCTGAAAACCACTGAAGTCGTCTTCTTCAGTGTCAAACAGCCTCAGAATCACTTCCTCAGTCTTCAAACTCCAACACTGCCACTTCTGGTTGAATTAGAGATTCCAAAAGCAGCTGAGTCGACAGAAAAGTGGGTTTATTAATCTCAGAATCTGTTCCCCATTTACATTTTCTCAGTTGAAGGAGTCGGTTTTTCATTCGGCATCAACAGCAACCAGCTGCTGGAGTCACTTTGTACCAAAGAAAAGCAGCGACTTTGGTAAATTGGAAGCGTCCACGAGCCTGAAGTTCAGATTAATCTTCGCTGTGCTGCACGTTGCTTTCATTATTAGCAGAAGAAACAACGAGGACTTAATTAAACGTGCATTAAAGGGTTTCTATGGTGGATGTTTTCTTTGCTGAAACGTGTTTCGGGTTAGAGAGAAGAACTTCCTCCAGCGACCAGGAGGCCGGTGAGGCCGGGGTTCCCTGCTTCTATCTGCTGCTCATCAGCCCCTGATTATAAAGTCAGTATCCCTCTAATGCGTCCCAGCTTGACTTGAATCATCCGTCGCTGCATCTACAAACACCAGCCGAGCGTCTGGCCCGTAAAGCAGGTTTTCCCAGTGAACGTGCTGAGTTCTAGTCCTGGTGCCGGTCCAAGCCCACCTCGGAGCAGATGATGAAACGCAGAGAAACTCTTTGTTCTCGGCCGGCTCGCTCGCTCGCTGCTGTCGACGGTGGCCAGTTTAAACACCGAGCCGGGGATTTTCCCATAATCCTCCGCTGGTCCGGCTTCAGTCGTCGCTGCTGTGTCAGCTGCTCCGATTGTTTTCTGCTCCTTTGTTCTCGTCCTGTTAAAAACGATGCGAGCGTCTGTTTGGATGTTTTAACCTCAGCCAGAGCTGCAGCGTCACGTCTCTGGTCGAGGTCAGAACATCTCCTCTGATCGTGGAGGTTTAAGGTGAACGCTGAGGAGTTTTCAGGGTTTTTCCTGGTTGTCACCATGTTTTCTGATTAATGCCGAACAAATAGAAGTGATTCAGGGAAAATCCAGAGTTTATGTGAAGTGGGTCTGTCAGCACAAAATCCCCCTTTTTCCCTTTAACAGAGGGAACTGGAGCCACTGATGTCACCAGGACCGAGACTCTGGTACCGAAACCCTGAAAACACTTAAACTGTGTTTGTTTTCTGTGAAGAACCCAAAAGTTCTGCAGCTGTCAAAGAAAACTTTAATTCTATTGTTTTAAAATTAGTTAATAAATTGTAAACACTGACTGTGAATTTACATCTGTAATGTAAATATATATTTTTAAAAAACTAACTTTGATGAACTCTAAAATGTACATTTTTTGAAGAGTGTTCGAGCAAATTTAAAAAATTCTCATTTTTATTTCATAAATGTCACCATTAAGTACCGCAGCTGTTATACATGGTCAAAAAGATCTATTAATATTATTTATTTTATACACAATTCACAATAAATATCACAAAAATTGTGGAAAAAAACAAAAAACAAAACTGACTGACTTAAAAATTCTAGTTTGTATCTAATAGACATCAGTTTATAATATACCTAAGTATTGGTTTTATATATAAAATTTCATATTTATATTTATTATTTCAGGCTCTGTATCGACTATGTTGTACATTTGTGCTGTATAAATAAAATGTAATGTAATTTTAAAGACAATAATTTGTTTAAACTGTGAATTAAAAACACATTTAAAGGCCTCGTTTTATGAATTTTCATTCGTGGCTTCATGGCTGCACCTGAACACAGAACCTTTAGTTTTTACAGAATCTTGTGGATTCATCAGATTATTTTTGACAAATGTTTTATATGAGACACGTCGAATGAAGTGGCTTAGATAAAACATCAAACTGTGAAATTAAACGTGCATCAAAAAGAGTTTTTTATTTGTGTCCAGCGTGAAGACGAAGACTGATTCAAGTTATTTTATGTTTTATATCATGTAGTTATCTGTCTGTGAAGTGTTGTGATAAACGTCCTGCTTTGTCCAAAGAGATCCAGTTTACTGAAACCAGGAAACGTTTCTGAAGCTGCAGTCACAGAATTCAGACCGTTTTCCTGAAACAACATCGATGATCAAAACCGTCCATCAGTTCGTTAGCAGGTCGTTAGCAGCAGGTCGTTAGCAGCGGGTCGTTAGCAGCGGGCTAACGCCTCGGCCTCGTGTCGTTTCAGGAGCTGTCGAAGCACTTTGACAAGAGCGACCCCGGATACGAGGTGGTGGAGGACGCCATCATCACCATGACGGCGGTGGCCTGGTACATCAACGACATGAAGAGGAAGCAGGAGCACGCCGTCCGGCTGCAGGTGAGCAACAAGCAGGTTTTCTACTGTGAGGGGAAACGTCACCGATTCATCTGGTCTCCATGTCGGGAACAGGTCATAATTACACCTAATTAATGAAGCTACTGCTGCTGTGATGCTGCAGGTGTTTGAAATAATCCTCAACAGCTGGAAGCTCCTGATGAGAAAACCCAGATGTGTCGCCTCCAGCGGCTGAAGATCATCTCCTCTGAGTTTATCAAACACCTGCAGCATCACATGTGCACAAACAGCATCAACTCCATGAACTGCTTCTGGTTATAAATGACGGCCGACATGCAGGCAGGATCAATCAGGATCAATCAGGATCAATCAGGATCAATCAGGATCAATCAGGATCGATCAGGATCTAACTGCTGGTAAAGCAGCAGGTAGATCTCCGTCGCTCTTTGATTAGCAGCCGGTCGTTCAGATTCAGGCTTCTGTTTGTGTCTTTATGTTATTAAGATGCTTAACCGATGAATTAGACGACCTTTGGATGTATATCAACCCTCCAGCATCATGAAGGGATTTAATTCACACTTAACTCTCCACGTTTTACCGGTTTGAACAGGAACGAGGAATTTCAAACTGAATTTTTTAACCCAAATCTGAGCCGATCAAGCAAAACATTCAGACTTAAGTTAAATTAAAACTAAAGTTTCTGCTCAGGAAGGCGAGTAAACGACAACGATCTGACGTCTGAATCAAGAAATAAAAACATTCTTTACAGTTTTTTCAGTTTTTTTGTTAAAAAGTCAGTTTATAAATTCATAGATAACAACAATAATATGATTATATTATATTATTAAAAACATCATTGTGGTTGAAGCGCTGCTACATGCTGCTGTATTAGCCGCCACAGAAACATGATGTCGGTAATTAACAATGCTGTTAATTAGGGCTGCTGTGGCGTTAACCTGACACTAGGTGGAGCTCTAGTACATTTGTTAAGCTCTGTTTTTGTCAATACGTCATTTGTTGTTTGATTAAATGATGAATAAAGTCGTGAGTGACACGACGCCACAGCTTTAACACTAGATGGATGTACAGGGCTGGTTGACGCCTCCAATCTGGGCTCCAGGCGGCCTCTCCAGAACCACGGTTAGCCGTAGCAACACATAACAGAACCACCTGCAGCTTTACTGGAAGCCCGAGTTCACCGACTCTAAACAAGAGATTAAATTCTCATCATACCGAAGCCCTAATGTAGCGTCGGAGCTAAACCACGGCTCATTTCGGACCTCCTCAGAGGTTTCTCTGGACCGGCCGTGCAACACCAGCGTCCCCTCCGCGGGCCTCCGGCCACCCTTTGGTCCTCAGGCCCGTAAAGAGGCCGCCGAGGTCGACCGGCCGACCTCCAGGTGTCAGAGTCTGCGTTCCTCGACTTCCTCCGACACGTGTTCTGTGGTCCAGAGGCGTGTTATTAGCGTGTTGCTCACAGAGCGGTGCGTGTTCTCGGGTCCAGCTGGGTTCTGACGCCTCGCCTGTCATTCCCACCGCGGATCGCCTTTCATTTAGCGGCTTGCAGCATTTTTCTCCTCCCGTGTTTCACTTTGAGGCGTTTCAGCTCAGTTACATTCACTTCAGGTCTCGTTACGAACATCCTGCAGCGAAGCGAGCAGAGTGAACGTGTTTAAAACTCAAACGTCTTCAGAATAATTAAATCTGTTGCTGGTGTTAGACGCAATAAACCAGCTCAGGTTTACAGTTAAACACTAAAAGAACCAACTGGACGTCTTCTCTGGGATTTGATGAATTATCGTCAGTAAATTAACTCACAGGAGAAAATCTGTAAAATACATTTTTAGAAAATGATTCAGTTTTTTGGTGATTTTAACAGTAAAATTAATTTAACATTTAAATGATGTAAAAGAAGAACATTAATATTCAGATTGTTAATGTGGACGTCTGTTTGTTTTACAGTCAACGTGTGAATTCAAACTGTTATTGTGTGATTTAACAGAACAAGAGAAATGTGTTAAATACCAGTAAGTTTACCTTCTGTCAGGCCTTAATGCACAAACATACCAAAATAATATAATATAAATAAAATGCATATTTCTGCCTGTAAATATCAGCACATCTCTGTCTAATAAAGAGGTTTTTATGTTGATGTAAATCCAGTAAAATGATGTAAATGATGAACAGACTTTATAAGGTGACATATTTTGATTAAATAAATCATAATTTAACAAAACGGAAAAATCGGTAAATGAGCCTCATTCTGTTCGAAGCTCGGAGCTGAATTCTAGAGTTCTCTGGTTGTTCTCAGAAGGTTCCCTGCAGAACGTCTCCTCTGGCAGCTCTCTGCGCGTGAAGGTTCTGGTGTCACCTTTCCTCTGTTCTGTGCAGGAGATCGAGTCCCTGCTGGTGAACTGGACCGGGCCGGACCTGAGCGGCTTCGGGGAGCTGGTTCTGGAAGGTTCCTTCAAGGTCCAGAGGGTGAAGAAGGAACGAGCGTTCTTCCTGTTCGACAAGATGCTGCTGATCGCCAAGAAGAGGCTCGAACAGTTCGTCTACAGCACGCACATATTCGTGAGTGGAACCCGTCTGATGGTAGAACCTCGGACGGAACCG